TATATTTTATATGATCTATAGATATTGAATCTTAGCCCTTATTTCACCAAGAGTTTCTCCAGTCTACTGAAAAGTCAGGAAAACTTGCTGAGTATCTTATTAAAATCTCATTCGTGGGGAATGCCTGGGTGGCTCAGCCGTTTAGCGCCTGCCTTCTGCCCAGGACGTGATCCTGGAGTCGCGGGATCGAGTCCCACATCGGGCTCTCTGCATGGAGCCTGCTTCTCCCTCTGCTTGTGTCTCTGCCTCTCTCTTTCTCTGTGTCTCTCATGAATAAATAAAACCTTTAAAAATAAATAAATAAATAAATAAATAAATAAATAAATAAATAAATAAATAAATAAATGTCATTCTCAGAATTACACAAGCCGGAATAAAATTTGAGAATTTTTTTTTTTTATTTATTCACGAGACACACAGAAAGAGAGAGGCAGAGACATAGGCAGAGGGAGAAACGGGTTCCATGCAGGAAGCCCGATGTGGGACTCAATCTTGGGACTCCAGGATCACGCCCTGAGCCAAAGGCAGAGGCTCAACCACTGAGCCATCCAGGCATCCCGAGAATTCAGTTTTTATTTTTTTTTAATTTATTTATTTATGATAGTCACAGAGAGAGAGAGAGAGGCAGAGACAGAGGCAGAGGGAGAAGCAGGCACCATGCACCGGGAGCCCGACGTGGGATTCGATCCCGGGTCTCCAGGATCGAGCCCTGGGCCAAAGGCAGGCGCGAAACCGCTGCGCCACCCAGGGATCCCGAGAATTCAGTTTTTAAACAAAAGTCACTGATACAACAAAACATACGTTCCTCAAATAAAATTAGATAATCAGATGAAATAAAGCCTAATTTTAAATGAACACCAAGTGGTTGAGAAGGTAAAATAAGGATTAAATGTAAGGATTAAAACAAAGTATTTTTTGTTCTTTCCTATCCGAAAAGTGCCTCGATGCCCTATCTTGGTAACTAATAAGCAGCTGCTCATTTCTCACCTAATTTCTACCCAGAAATATGCTCAACTTAGCACAGCTTGAAAGGGAAGGGGTGGTAGGATGAATGCAAAATCTTTAAAGTGGGGATCTTGGGACACCTGGGTGGCTCAGCGGTTGGTCGGCTGCCTTCGGTTCAGGTCATGATCCCGGGATCCAGGATCGAGACCCGCATGCGGCTCCTGCGAATAGCCTGCTTCTCCCTCTGCCTATGTCTCTGCCTCTGTCTCTCTCTCATGAATAAATAAATAAATCTTTAAAAAATAAATGTGGGGATCTTTATTCAAGAGAGTAAAACCAGATAAGTATCTTATTTTACACAAAAATATTAATCCTAAAATAGAGCTCTCTCCTAGACTTTCTTCCCAAACTAGGTCTTTGTTTCTTTTACAAATATGCAAAATATCCTTGAAGAAAACTGTATTTAAACAAACAGAAGGTTAAAGCAAACTAATTCACAAGTAGTGGAACTTCCCTGTCCAACCCCTGCCGCGTATCTTCGCTGTTCTCCTTCCCTCCAAAATACCTTACAAGGCATGCCAAAGTAAAAAGGCCAAGTAGTTCCAAGTCAAAGGAGGACCTCTGCAAAACCTGGGATTTCTTAGATATTTGAAAAGCATTCAAGCAAAGGAGTCCATTTAGCATTTGAAAACCACCAAAACTTGATACTGGCATATGAGAAAATAAGTTTTTCAATTACATTGCCACCACTTTCCCTTAAAAATGAGCCAAAATAGAAGACCACAGATTAGTCTGAGGGAGGAAAATCAGTAGTAGCATTATTTCTACACTACCAAATCAATCATTCAACAACAGGCTCCAGCGTCTGCACTTCATATCACTTATCAAAAACTTTATTAATCAGTAAGAAACACTTTTTCCTAAAAATAAAAAGTACCCTCTGAACAGTTTTTTTTTCCATTATGAAAGAGCTTAGAAAGTAAAAGATGTAAATAAAGAAATAACACAGATATGTATTTTTTTAATCTACAGAATGGAGTTCTGTAATTCTGAACCAAACAAATGGAAGCGCAAAAATTTTTTTTTTAAATAATGAAATTAAACTGAGCGAATACTCAATAATATTTAAGAAGTCCTTCTTACTATTCCTTAGGCTTGATGATAGCATTACAGTTCTTTCTTCCCTCAAGTATTTATCTTTCAGATACACCTAAAGGATTAACACATGAAAATTGAGATGGCTTTAAAACATCTAGTAGAGGGCAGCCCCCGTGCCGCAGCGGTTTAGCGCCGCCTGCAGCCTGGGGTGTGATCCTGGAGACCAGGGATAGAGTCCCACGTCAGGCTCCCTGCATGGAGCCTGCTTCTCCCTCTGCCTGTGTCTCTGCCTCTCTCTCTTCCTCTGTGTCTCTATGAATAAATAAATAAATAATCTTAAAAAAAAATATCTAGTAGATAGAACAGGAATAATCATGTGAGAACTATGACTGAAGCTGGCTAATTGCTATACGAAGCTTCATTATATTGATATATTTTTTGTACACAGTTGAAGGGAAAAAAAACGTAACCTATGCGTCAAAACGTCAGTCAAAAGAGAAATTTTCGTCCCACTAAATCACCCAGAATTCTGCTTATTTTCTCTCATTTACCTGGTCTGATTAACAAGTTCTAGTCTGCAAGCCAATTAACTGCCTCCAACAGACCTGTAGCTGAAATACAAGATTCATCTTGCTTTTAATCCTACTCATCAGCTAGGTGAGTGCCGGGTGAGCAAACAATACAGGAATTTATCATTAGTAATCGTATTTTAACCTCAAGACCTGATACCCACTTTGAGTCAAAATGAACTACCAGAAGTTGTTGTTTTTGGCGGGTTGTTTTTTTCTTTTTTTAACTTTACTCTCCCCTTAGTATCCGAACTAAATTTGGTCAGTGGTATAAAAGGTGAAATATAACAGACGTTCACCACCACCACCACCACCCCACCCCACCCCCACCCAGCTAGTAAACTCTGGATAAGAGTCAAAGAATTCAATCGAATGCGACACGCAGAAATGTTGCAAAAGTCTCGGGGTACGTAACTCTCCATACACCCTTACACTCCCTCCACCCCCTCCCCCCCCCCAAAAAAAAACGCCTTTTAACTGGTTAGAAAGGAGAGACCCCGGTTGGTTGGTTTTGTCTCCTCCTCCTTTCTTAGGGGGAGGTGCTAAAGAGCAAAGAAATCACCAAAAGACAGGCCGGAAGAAGGAAAGCGAAAAGCATGGAGTCTGGACAACTAGACGTTGAGTAACTGAGAACTATAACCAAATGATAGGAAGTTACGAGGGAGTTACCTGTTAAACACCTCCCTGTAACCCCAACTCACCTGAGCGGCTCAGACTTTACCAACCTGGCTGAAGGCACACTCACACTCCAACTCGCCTCTCCTCAAGTATTCGCCGGTACAAAGGCACGGAAAGAACTCTTCCTGACCCTCGCCAATAGTAGCGCCGCAAAAACAACTCTGAGGCTGGCCGCGGCCACGCTGGCCGGGCAGTCCCCGGGCCAGCGAGGCCACCGGAGCCCCTCCCCGCGGGGCAGGGGACCCCCCGACCACCGCCCCGCCCCTGAGGTACCAGATCCCTCCTCCCAGGCCGGACGAGGAGCAGCGACCGGACCGAGTCTCGCCCGAAGAACCCGCCCGCCGCCGAGGCCCTCCCTCCGCGCCCGTCCGGAACTGCGGTCGTGGCCCCGGGCCGCCCATTCGGGACCCAGGCCCGGGGCCCCGCGGGGCCGGGCGCGAGCCTCGCCCCCGGGCCGCCCCGCGCCGGCGGAACCCGCGCGAACCCCTGCGCTGCGCCGGACGCCGCCGTGCGGACCCAGTCACTGGCTACCTGTCTTCGCTCTTGTTTTTCTGCTTCTTCCCCATCGTGTGTCAGCGGCGCTCGCGGCCCCAGCCCCTCTATTCGGTCTCTCACAGGCCCGCTGTCCCCCAGCCGACTTTGGTCTCTCCGCGGCTCGGCTCCCCTCGCGCTGCCGCCTCTCGCACCCGGCTCTCCACAGACCCGCGCACTGGGACAGGGCACATATGGTGTGAGCTCTCAGTGCGCAAGCGCATCGCCCCGCCGCCTCGGCGTGGGGACGCAGGGCGCGGCTCATCGAGAGCTGCGCTTCGGGTAGAGCGTCTCCGGCCGACCCGCCGCCAGGCGGGACCCGAGCGCCCCCTTTCCGCCAGCGTCGGCCGCGCGCGGGGAACAGCTGCGTCTCCTGGTTCTAGAACTCGGAGACAATGAGGCTGAAAATTCCCCTTGTTAGCTCCAGCTCAGCGGCGGAACGCAGACTTGGAGTCTGGGGCTCTGTTCGGAAGTCAGCCTTGCGCTTTGCTTCCACCTATCTTCGTATTCTCAACCGCACGCGGGTCACTAAAGAACCGCGATGAACCGGTGATAGGCATAGGCACTCTAGGTCATCTATCGAGGACACATTGGGCCTCTCGATAACGTCCATGAATTAGCAAGTCCGTTCGGTCACCGAAAAATAATGACCGCGAACGAAACGAGGACACACCATCAGTTCCCCGAACTAGATCTTAGTCTTAACGCTCAAAGCGACAGCAACATCTAAGAATTTGTTAGGGAAGTCAAAAGGGAACCTACTAGGATAGTAAACACGTTCAATGTCTGGATCTGGACGGTGTTAACTATGTAAAAACTAACCATGCTGTGTAAGTTATACCTCAACTTAAAAAAAAAAAAAAAGTTCATTAAACACAAAGGAAGTGAAGTTGGAATGTCACTGCTCCGGAGCAAGATCGTAGCCATCCCGTTTCTGATGTAACATGACGTGTCCCGAGGCTCCGAGCCTAAGAAAGTCCGACGCGGCCAGGCTGAGCACCGACGAACTACAACCTCCAGCATACTTCGCTCCCCGGCGCGTGGGCGGTTTACCTAGAGCCAGGCTAAAAATCGGAAACCTCCGGGGGGGGGAGGGGGAGGAAGGGAGCTGCGCACGCGCAGAGGCGCTCCCCGCACGCACGCCCTCCTCCCCCGCCCCACTTCCTCGGGCGTCTCAGGTTGTATCGCGTGAGGGCCGCAGCCAAAGGGGAGGCGGAAGTGACGGCCGGTTCGCAGTCACGGGCAGCTGCTGCGAGAGTGAAGCCGGACTGGACTGCCTTCCTGGAGCGGCTGGTTCCTCACTTCTCCGGTGTCACCGAGAGCTCAGGTGAGGCAGAGGATGGTGTTAAAAAAAGCCGGCCACCGCCTCCCCGTGCTGATTGATGGACACTTCGCCACTCAACATGCGGCCCGGGCGGGGGAGGGGGGCGGCCCAGACGTCGGTGTCGGTGAGGCGGAGGCGGCTTCGGCGCATGAGCCGCGGGAGGTGTTGAAGTCGGGGCCACCTGCCCTCAGCCTTCGGCTGTGCCTGGGGCTCTGGGAGTGGCGGGGAAGCCTCAGGGAGGGCTCCTCGCGGGCAGTGAAGGTTGTTTGGACGGGTGCGTGTAAGGGAGTCAAGGAAACGGTTAGGTGATTTGAAGACAAGCCCCTTCCGACCGTTCCCGATGAACTGTAAAAAGGAATCGGGTTTGTGGTTTGAAGGATGAAAAGTTAACAGGATCGCTACACCATCTCCCTTCCCTTTTGTGAATGTGGTGACCACCGTCACCTGTCCCCAGAACAGCTCGTGTTACTGGCTTCTGTCCCCAGTTATCCCAGAATTAAATTCTGAGTTCAGTCCCCTAAAACTTAAGGGATAAGCATCCGCTGTAGCTTTAGTAAGAACAGGTTCTGACATATAATAACTCAGTGTTTCGATAACCAATTTTCTGCCTCATCCGGCCCCAGCCCTAAGGGAAACAGTCGTACTGACGTTTTTCTTTGGAGGTAGGAAGTGTGAGACTATTTTTACCATATTTGAAATGCAATTCCTTAAAAATACATAGCATTTATGAGGAGCTTACAGTTTGTTTATTTTTTTTTAATTTTATTTATTCACGAGAGAGAGAGAGAGAGATAGACAGAGAGGCAGAGACACAGGCAGAGGGAGAAGCAGGCTCCATGCAGGGAGCCCGACGTGGGACTCGATCCTGGGTCTCCAGGATCAGGCCTTGGACTGAAGGCGGTGCTAAACCGCTAAGCCACGCAGGCTGCCCAGTTTTGTTTTTTTTTTTTTAAGTCAGATACTTTTGAAACTTAAGGATAATTTGAACAAAAAGTAAGCACATGTTCATTCAAAAGTATTTTTTGAGCACCAGCTGTGTTCCAAGCATTGCTAGCTCTGGGGATACAAAAATGAAATCAATTGTGCTTTTCATCTGCTTTTCCTGCGAAGAAAAAAGAATCAGAAGTGAAGTTTGCAAGACTACTGCTTTTGATTTCAACAGTTGTAGAGAGTTTGTGTGGGCCAGGCTATATGTCAGTAACTTGGTCAGTGAGTTCACGGTTTATTAAGATTTTCTTCAGGGATCCCTGGGTGGCGCAGCGGTTTGGCGCCTGCCTTTGGCCCAGGGCGCAATCCTGGAGGCCCCGGGATCGAATCCCACGTCAGGCTCCCCGTGCATGGAGCCTGCTTCTGCCTCTGCCTGTGTCTCTGCCTCTCTCTCTCTCTGTGACTATCATAAATAAATAAATTTTAAAAATAATATTTTCTTCAGTAGTATTTGCAGTTGTGTCATAGTTGAGATGCAACAGCTTCCTGCTTTCATAGCAAGTTATAAATTATATTTCTGTAGTAATAACCCATGGGTACACATAAAATTTCCATCTGTTGATGACAGAAAATATTACATCTTATAGAATGTGTAATTAAGATAGAATTTCCTTTCCTATCTGAATTAGATTGTTTTTAAACTCCTACCTTACATAAAGGAGTGTTGGAAAAATCAGTATTTTTAACACTTGGAGTGATACTGTTTCACATCAAAGTTAAGAACACTGTCAGTAGATCCGTACCAGTATTGATCTTTTGTTAGGGCATAGGAGAAAAGCAGTGAAACTAAAGTTTGGGGAACACCAGGCGTAAATTGTTCTTTACCTAATTTGTACATAAATTGTGATGCAGTTTCTCAGAGGTTAAATGAAAATCATTTAGGTAGAGACCTTGAAAAATACGTTGTTGGCTCAACTCTGTTCTATACTGAAGCAAAGTTTGTTTTGTAGATGTATATGTAAAACCTCACTGCACTTAAACTTTACCGCATCATTATTCAGTCGTTCCTGCTTTATTTCTCTTCTGGTTTAAACAAAGAAGCACTATCAATTTATGTCACTAGGTAGAACTCCAACTACTCGTTACTCTCTGGTCTTAAAGACTTGTTTTTGCTTTGTTGTAGTGAAGCACAAACTAAATCAGAAGCACCTAAACTTTGTTCTAAGTAATATTTGAGTGGTGTTGACTATAACCTATTGAAAATTCAATTTTAAAAGATTTCAATAAGGGATGTCTTGGTGGCTTAGTCAGTTAAAACGTCCAACTCTTGATTTCAGCCCAGGTTTATGATCCCAGGATTGTGAAACAGAGCCCTGAGTCGGGCTCTCACCGAACACACAGCCTGCTTAATATTCTCTCTGCCATCCCCTCCCCTCCCCTCGCTCCCTCAATCAATCAATCAATAAAAACATTTAAGTAAAAATTCTTTTTTTTTTTTAAGATTTTATTTATTTATTAGAGACAGAGAGGCAGAGGGAGAAGCAGGCTCCATGCAGGGAGCCCGATGTGGGACTCGATCCCCGGTCTCTAGGATCACGCGTGGGCTGAAGGCGGCACCAAACCGCTAGCTAAGCCACCAGGGCTGCCTTAAGTAAAAATTCTTAAGTGTAACACAAAATGTTTGGTTGTCAGAACTCTTTGTGGAGTACAAATTATACACTTGCTAGAATTTTTTAAAATGAGAGAAGAAACTTTACCTTTTTTTTCCCCCCAACTTTGCAAACTTTCTCCCTAGCACCAAGGCTGAACTGTACCATTTAGAAGAATGGAAGCTAATGCATCTGTTGACATGTTTTCAAAAGTCCTGGAAAATCAATTGCTTCAGACCACCAAACTAGTAGAAGAACATTTGGATTCTGAAATTCAGAAACTGGATCAGATGGACGAGGATGAATTGGAACGCCTCAAAGAAAAGAGACTTGAGGCGTTAAGGAAAGCTCAACAGCAGAAACAAGTAACCTCTCTGCCCTGCTTTCTGAAATTACTTTAACAGTATGCTCCTAACAACTTATATATATATGTGCTGAAGTACTTTTATATTTCAGTCCTCATTTCTAGAGTTGTTTTCATTTTTTGCTTCAGAGTACTATCACTGTTAAAAATTTGCTGGGAAAAAAATTAGTTTTAAAGCACATTAAAAATTAGTTTGTTCAGTATGTTAATCTACAGTCGAGTAAAAGAAACATGCACCCAAGATCGTGTTTTGAGCTCAGATTGTTTGGTTGAGTAGAGAGTGGCCTAGGTAGAGCATAGGAAGCACTGTCAGTGGTTTTCCTTTTAGGTGATTAATTGTAAAGCCAGTTATAATTTAGCTGTACTCATTGTAAGTGAGGCGAGAGCTGTAAGGCCATTGACATGGTGGAAATTATTTCAGACATTTCCATTGTAACATTTACATGGCTTATTTGTTCAAAAGAATGCATGCTGGGTCACCAAAGAAGGGTGGCCACAACTCTATTCTTGTTGGTCTCTTAGAGTATGAGTGTGGAAAAGACTCTAATCAAAACATTGGGTTAAATTCTGTTTTTGATTTAAAAATGTTTGCATTGCTTTATGTTACACTGTAATAGATTATTATCAGTTCTTATTCCTCTTCAGTTGGCTGTGAATAAAAAAAACTTTCTAACTTTTCTAAAGAAACAGGGAGTTTTGTTTGTGCTCCCTGTAGCATCTGTTTGATAATGTTTATACTTGGTATTTATAAGAATTGCTAAAAGGAAAGAATCGTCTATAGTGTGCCTGAGTTTCTATTTTTATATCTTGAGTTTTCTAGAATAGGGGTTGTGTGTGTGTCTATATATGGTTTTGAAGCCAGGAGACTTTTTTTAATATAATGCTAATAATTACTTAAGGTAATGTATGATGAGATTCTGCTACAAACTCCTATTTCATGATCACAGTTAAGTAACACTACTTAATAGGCCTGTGCCAATCAATATTCCTCAGTCAACCAAGCACCCTCTTACTGTTATGGCAGCTTGTGACATAGGACTTAGGTAGTGAGCAGAAGGACAGGTGAGATACAGGAAGAGCCCATCCAAAAACTTGGGTTATAGCCACTAAGTGAGAACTAGATGCTCAGCTGCCAGCCCTTGGGTAGGTTCAGCCTGCACTGTGATCTCTGCTCATTCTGCTAAATTCCATTCGGCAGATGCTCTGTGGAGCATGAACTCTTTAAAAGAGTACAGGGGTGTGCTGAGTGTCTTGGGAAAGATGCCCTGTGTTGGAGGTTCAGAGTTGGCTTGCCTCCGAGGGAACTTCGAAAGGTTCAAGTTTTCCACCTGTTGGTTAAACATATGAGAATTAATAAAAAGAGCTTTTTAAAAAACAAAGAAACACTCTTTTTTTTAAGGGCAATGTTATTGGTAAGTCAAGAAAAGTCATGAAATGTTACATGCCATTAACGGATTGTATTTGAGAGTTTAAATTGTTTATAAAAGCTTGACCAAAGAAATGTCACATAAGGAGAAAACACCAGGGCTTCCTGTGAGCATCAGCTTAGCATAAGTCAATGTGAAATGGATTCCAAAATTCTTAATACAGCCTGTATTAGCTTAAGTCCAGAGGAAGAAAGGAGATGGCACTACTGCCACCTTCTCGGTGGACCACTTCTGGAGGGCTGCCTATAGACTTCTGCCACCTTTTAAAGGGAAAGGGGGAAATTAGTTCAGAGGAGGATAATCAATAAGAGTAAGAGATGTAAAAAAAAAAATAAAAAAAGAATAAAGTAAGAGATGTAGCAATCATTTCATACGAGAAACAGCCAAAAGAAAATGGAGAGGTAGAAAAGAAAGGACATAGGTGAGACAGGATGTCTGAAGGGCTAACATATGAAAGACATTAGAACTTTTCTCTCTAATCTTAGGTCCAAGCTGGATCCACAGACCAAAGTTACAGATATATTGCAGTTCAGTGTGAGAAGACCCTTCAAAAAATGAGAGTATACATGCAACTGGTTTTGAAGCACCTGTGCCAGACACTGTTAGAGATATTTTCATGTAGACAGTCTTACTTTCACAACTCAGTGAGATAGTTGCTTTGTGATCTCCACTCAAAAGACTATTAAAATTCTTAGCCTAATGAGTGGTAGAATAATTACTCAAACCCATGCCTTCTACCTGCAAGCCCAATGCTCTTTTTATTAAAACCAGCTGCCTAAAAAAAAGGCAGCAAGCTTCCAATTGAGATGATGAACCTTTCCAGTAGCAGGAAGCTTGAGAAGCAAAGGTCTGTCAGGCATGGTTGATACATTGGGTTGAGAAGTTGAGTTATAGATGACTCATGGGATCTGTATTGTTTCTGGACATCATGTGAGAAGACAATATTTTCTTCCTATGATACTATCCCATTGGTGGCCAGAATAGAAATGGTTCCTACTTCTCTGAGCAAACAGGGCTTTTGAGCTGCAGAGCTGCAGTAACCAACCCCCCTTCTCCCCTACAAAGACCAAGTAGCTTTATCTGATGAGCATAATTTTCCAAAGCTTTGCAGTAACTTAGACCTAATGCTTCTGACTTTAGTTGAGTGCAGAGAAATTAAATGGATATTTACATTTTAAGTCTCCTGAATCTAAATTTTTAAAGTTCTAAGAAAACATGTATGAAGTTACCATGGATTGTCTTAAACACAAACCATGCTGAGAGATAGTACCTACTCAGAGACTGTTTGCACTTGACAGTAGAGGCATAGGAGAGTAAATAAGAGGAATTGATTTCTCTACAAGATAAAATCAACTTCATTACAGGATATTACAGTGATTTAGACACAAAATGTAAAGGACTGAAAAATATGTCAAGTATGTAATATTTCCCTTTTCTCCAAATTAGGAATGGCTTTCAAAAGGACATGGGGAATACAGAGAAATCCCTAGTGAGAGAGACTTTTTTCAAGAAGTCAAGGAGAGTAAAAAAGTGGTTTGCCATTTCTACAGAGACTCCACATTCAGGTAACTTTGTTTCCACCAGTGAGTTGTTTAAAATGATGAGATCTTTGAGTAGAAATACACTAATATAATAGAAAATTTTCAGAAATTAGAGGAACTACTTTTTAAGTTGTTTCTTGGTACTTCTGTAAAAGTCTGTTAAACAGTTGCTATGTTGAAGATTAACTTAAAACCCATTACACTCTTCCTCAGCGTGCAGCTCATGGGAAGACAATAGTTTGGCCAAGCCTTTCATTAGAAGCATCGTTGGGAGTGCCAGACTTGGCTGGAAGGAGAGGAAAGTGATTTCTTTTGGATAGCCCAGATCTACAAGCCTCTCTATGGAGGCAGAGTCCTTGTAAAATGAAAATACCCCTAGAAAGGGTTATATCTTAACCCTTTCTTTCTTTTAACTCTCAAATTTGATTAGTTGCCAACTTTGAAAAATTGAGAGATACAATTTTTTTTAAAAAAATCCAGATTTCAGATTTTTTTAAAAATCGAATAACTTAATAGGCCTAGAATTCAGTAGGAAAGCAGTTTGCTGATACTGAATAGTAGCTGCCTCCCTAGACAGACACATACTCCAGTGTAGAGTCTCCATCATTCACTGTTGTCTCCACCCTGCCCTCTCCTCCCATTTCCATAACCTGCTCAGCCTTTGTCTTTAACTCACCATCCAGTAACATGGTTACTAATTAACATCTTTCTAAGATTGCCTGCCTGAGATTTACTGATTAAGGTAATATAAATGAAAGAAGAAAAAACAATTAAAAAATTTTTTAATGAAAGAAAATGTTGAGATGGTGAAATCCCTGTAAAGGAAGGTATGGGAATGGATTAGGAAAGAAAAGGGTAGGGGCAGCCTGGGTGGCTCAGCAGTTTAGCGCCGTCTTCAGTCCAGGGCCTGATCCTGGAGACCTAGGATCGAGTCCCACGTCAGGGTCCCTGCATGGAGCCTGCTTATCCCTCTGCCTCTCTCTCCTCTCTCTCTCTCTCTCTCGAATAAATAAATCTTTAAAAGGGAAGAAAAGGGTATCAGAGAAACCCTCTGTCACTGTGGTACTCTATCCTCTCCTATTGGCACACATTTCTCCAGTTGCCAACCTCTGACATACATGGTGAGGTGATATGTTAATATTAGTATCTAAGATTGATACCATTTGATGTTTATTAGATGTTTTTGACCACTAGATTGTTTTGTGACAGCAGAGAGTTTGCCTGTATCATGGTTCACCATGCTCCCAGGAGCAGCAATGGCTGACACATAGCAGGTGCTCAGTAAATATATTTGATGGATGTATAAACAGTGCAAAACAGTGCAACCGCAGGAATACTTACCTTCAAGCAAAAATGAAAACTCAAGAGGTACCTGGCTGGCTCAGCCAGTAGAACATCTGACTCTTGAGCCCCTTGTTGGGTATAGAGATTGCTTAAAAAATAGAAAAAAGGAAAACAAAAAAATCATTAGAAAATTTCATATACAAGTCTAATACAGATTTCAGAATTCTTGGCATATAGTAGACTGGATATTCCATGTATAAAACCCTGGAACAGGGCAGCCCGGGTGGCTCAGCGGTTTAATGCCGCCTTCATCCCAGGGTGTGATCCTGGAGACCTGGGATCAATGCCCACGGTGGGCTCCCTGCATGGAGCCTGCTTCTCCCTCTGCCTGTGTCTCTGCCTCTGTGTGTGTGTGTGTCTCTCATGACTGAATAAATAAATAATTACATCTTTTAATTATTGTGGTGGGGAGAGGATGATCCTGGGAACTGGGGAATTTCTCCCCCTTGAGAATCCAACCATCAAACACCTTCCAACAGAAAACACAGATATAGATGATCATTTCCATCAACTCCTGAAGTCACAGGTATATTGCAAAGGGAGGAAGTTATCTAGCAATGAGCCTGCAGCCTAAAGTGAACTGACAACCTGCTCTCCCCTGCCTACTTGATTTCCATCTCTCTATATTTTGGCCTTGAAGGTTGTTTGCACATGTTATTATTAATGATTTTTTCTTCATAAGCCTTAAAGTATCCAAAGTAAGTAAACTTTATTATACTCTGATAATTTCTTGGTAAATGAAAGTATAGACAATTTAAAAAAAAAAAAACCTTTAAAAAAATCTTTAAAAAAAAAACAAAAAACCCTGGAACATTCATAATGACCCTTTGAGGTAGGTATAATTCCAGTGCTTCATGTATGGATGGTCGACCAGGACTTGGAGAGATTAGGTGTCTCACCTAATGTCATTCATCTAGTAAATGATAGAAGAGGATTCAAAACCAGAATTTAAGCCTAAGCTGTTTTAACTACACCGCGACTGCTGCTTCTGGGTTTTAAAAAAGTGGATTAATTAACAAATGGTACAATCATAGATTCACTTAAAATAGGTTGCATGCAACTCCAGTGAAACATGGAGTTGATTTATCTACTGGTTTTTGAGAACATAGTTCTCTCATAATGGCTCATTTATCATTTGTTTTAGCTTCATTCAGGAACCTTTTGTTAATTTGTTCTCTTGTACCATTCATTTTCTCTTGTACCAGCGATTCAGTGCCTGCCTTCAGCCCAGGGCGTGATCCTGGAATCCCAGGATCAAGTCCCACATCTGGCTCCCTACGGGGAGCCTGCTTCTCCCTCTGCATGTGTCTCTGCCTCTCTCTCTCTATCTCTCTCTCTCTCACTCTCTGTCTCTCATGAATAAATAAATAAAATTTAAAAAATAAATAAATAAAAGCTGACTTTAATGAACACTGTGATGAAGAACTGCTCAAAAAGATTATTACAGTAGTCGGTTTCAGGAACACTAAAGGATCAACCAGTTTAAAGTACATTTTAACTTACAGAAAATGCCATTTCCATATTTCTTTTCAATAGAAAGTGACTTAATGTACTACTGGTATTTCCATTTTTTCAGAACCATATGAGCATATTTATAATCCTTACCTTTATGCTTCTTAATGATAGTTGCACAGTTAGAAGAGTTCCTTCTTCGTGACGTCCTTTGGTCTTAATGACTTCCAAATATGGCATTGTGTATACATTTCTAATTCTGAAAAGTCACTTCTGAGTTCTATCAAGTCAGATTGGTCACCTTCAAGCTCCGTGTATGAGATACCAGGAAACATACATAAGAGAAATGATAGTTATTTTCTTTTTTTTTTTTTTTAAGATTTTATTTATTTATTCATGAGACCCAGAGAGAGAGAGAGAGAGAGAGGCAGAGACACAGGCAGAGGGAGAAGCAGGCTCCACACAGGGAGCCTGACGTGGGACTCGATCCCAGGTCTCCAGGATCACACCCTGGGCTGAAGGCGGCACTAAACCAGTGAGCCACCTGGGCTGCCCAGTTTTTTTTGTTCTTACCATGAGCATGACAACTTCATGAACTACTTATGACTGAAAGCATATATTGAGTATAAGTATCATGAGGCACAACTGACTTTCTAGAATATTAGATTATTTTCCTGCCTCTTCTAATCAGTTTAGCTAACCTGTGAAATGAAATTGAGGTCATCCAATGCAAGCATGGGTTGGCTGCCAAATTATGAGACTCACACAGAAAATGAGATGTATCTTTAGGACACTTATTTTTAAAATGAAAAATATGTTGTTTTAGCTTTTGATTCTCTATATGCTGTTATTTACAGGTGTAAAATATTAGACCGACATTTGGTGATACTGTCTAAGAAACATCTTGAGACCAAATTTCTGAAGCTGAATGTGGAAAAAGCACCTTTCCTTTGTGAGAGACTACGTATCAAAGTCATTCCCACACTAGCACTGGTAAAAGATGGAAAAACACAAGATTATGTTGTTGGATTTACTGACCTAGGAAATACAGATGACTTCACCACAGAAACTTTAGAGTGGAGGCTGGGTTGTTCCGATATTCTCAATTACAGGTAATTTTTAGCAAAACAATTTGATTTTAATTCCATATTCAGTTGATATTTGTAGAGAATTTTTTTATGTTAACATTCATTTTAAGAAGCTAAGTAAGGTCTGGCTGAGATGTAGAAAATGTTTCACAAATGAAAAGCATATTTCTTAAAGTGTACATTAAGCATAATCTTACAACAAAATCAGAGTTACAGATAAAATTGAGTTTTGGAGTATACCTAGCTATTATAAAAACTTTCATCCTAACAGATCCTATTGAATCTAATTTTCTAATAGTCTGGAAACCCAAAATGACACTTCAGAATTGACTCTTCCCTGATTTAGACCAGATTACTCAAATTGATAATGAGTTCTCTTTGAACATCAGATTTTTTTAATGTAGCTATTCCTGTTTTGTAGAATCTGGTAAAATGTATAATCTCAGTCATGTAATCAGCTTAAATTACTTATTGTGGAAACAGTCTCAATTTGAAAACAATCTAAAATCCAACTTCCATTTTTCATTCATCTCCTTGTCCACTTTGCCAGATAGTTTACCTGATCCTACAAATCAGAGCATATCATCTTGTCATCTGTGCCTGTTTTTGATTTATAGAATTAACAGATAAAATTATACAATTATTCTATTGTCATAGCACCTTTCAGTAAGTAGAAAGTTCTCTCCTCTTTTCCCTGTCCCTTTTTCTCTGAATCTCCCCTATGTTGTAGAACTTGATTTCGGAGTTTTAGGTTTTACTTAATAACAAATAAAATATTAATATCTATTAAATGAATTTTGAAATAATTTCAAACTTTAAACAAGCTGGAAACTAGCACAAAGAATTCTCATATACCTATTGCCCATATGTCTCAGTTCTAAACATTTTACATTTGCTTTATCATTCTTTTCCTGAATACACGATTTTTTTTAAACCATTTAAGTGGAGATGTATTATCCCTTTACTGCTAAATATCTCCTTGTGTATTTTCCAACAATAAGGGCTTTTTCTTATGTAACCATAGTACAGTTGTTAAGATATTATATTATAATATTATGTAATATTATATATTTCAAATTCTACCACTGTCCCAAATAATGTCCTACATACTAAAATGTTGCATGTAGTTACCATGTATTTTTAGTTTCCATTAACCTTGTCTTATTTTTCAGTACTTTGACATTTCTGAAGAGTACGAGCTAGTTATTTTGTAGAGTATCCTTCAATTTGGGTTTGTCTAATGTTTCAAGATTAGATGCAGACTATGCATGTTCTCATGGGTACATAATAAAAGCGATGTTGTATTCTTCTCAGTATACCACAGGAAGAGGTATAGGGTGTTTTATTTCTGCTGATAACTGAGCCCTGGTTAACAAGTTATCTACCAAGCCATATGGGGATTTAAGAACAACTTTTCCATATCCCACATTAATTTACTTTTTCATTTATTTCTATTAGAATGGGCAGCGGCTTATCTTAGCCAATGGGTTGTAGTTAGTTACTAATACTTATTTTGAAACCTAAATTGCCCCAGATTTGGCCAGTGAGAGGCCCTCTCATGCAGACTTCAGTGTTCTTTTTACATGGCCCCATAGTTCTTTAAGCACTTTTTTTTTTTAAGATTTTATTTATTTATTCATGAGAATACACAGAGAGGAGAGAGAGAGAGGCAGAGACACAGGCACAGGGAGAAGCAGGCGCCATGCAGGGAGCCCGACGAGTGGGACTCCATCCGGGTCTCTAGGATCACTCCCTGGGCTGAAGGCGGCGCTAAAAGGCTGAGCCACCTGGGCTGCCCAAGCACTCTTTCTGATGCAAATAAGTGGTCTTAGACAACTCTCCCTAGGATTGGCTATTTCTCCAAGGAACCAAGGTTCCTTTCCGTAGCAAATGGTATTTCAAAACCAGAATCTAGGTGCCAGGAATCTTCCTAGATATTTTTAAAGAAGAAGTTGTCTCATTTATTTCTTAAGCATCATTGAAAATTTTTATACCAATTCCAGGTTAATGATAAAGAGTTCCATAAGTTTTATTGATGTTTGTCTAAACATTTAAAGATGTGAAACAGGATCATACCAGCCATAATAAGCTGTCAAAAATAGAGCATCATTTTCCTGTGTCATTCTTACAGTGAAAAGAATCTAATCCAAGTTGAACACATCCAAAACAGGTGGAAAAACTGTTTCATTTCTTTCTCTGCTTTTCAGCCGAAATTCAGTAGGTACATCCTATGAGATAATTAGTCAGTGATTAATGATAAAAGAAAACATTGATCTAAAACATTTAATAATACAAAATAAGGTTTAAAACTCTTAACCAGCAGTATAAATAATATATATATATATATATCTTCCTTGACACCAGGATTTTCTTTAAAATAGGTTAGTAAGAAAAGAGATTTTTGTGTAGGTTAGCATACCAACTGTACTAAATCATAAAGAATAAATGCTTTTCAAATTTGTTTTATTTTTAGTGGAAATTTAATGGAGCCACCATTTCAGAGCCAGAAGAAATTCGGAACAAACTTCACAAAGCTGGAAAAGAAAACTATTCGAGGGAAGAAATATGATTCAGACTCTGATGATGATTAGAAATTAGTTGTAATTCTTTGTAAATTGTCTTTTTATTTCTGCTTACTTCAGAATTGATGTGTTTTCTAAATCCCGTTGGTTTTGATACATTGGTCATTTGATGGTCATGTTCTAGGGTTTTGTACATTTTCATCACATTGAAAGACATCTTCAGTATTTTCTGTGTGGCACTCATGTTTAAGTTGAAGACAACTTCTGCGTTCTTAAATTATCCAACAAGAGTCTGGATTCTCTATTTTTGAGATTGATTTTATCACAATATGATTCTTAAGTCTTTATACCATTCACAGTTGTGTTTTTAATCTACTACATTGGAAATAGGAATTCAACAGACTATTCCAGGACTAATTCTTAACACAGCACTATTTACTTTATACAATAGGTCAAACAACATTTACTGGTGTAACAGACTCACTTGTAAATGAATTATAAACACTCTTCTGGAATATATTTAACTATTAAAGAACTGCTTATTTATTCTGTAGGCTGTGTGTTGATGATGAATCAACTAATGGCAGCAGAAAGCTTTTTTGGGTTTTGAGCACATTGCCTTATTTAAAGGGTTCTGGTTGCTTGTATTTTAAGACATGCATTTAAAAATAGGAAGGGGCAGCCAGATGGCTCAGTTAAATGTCCGACTCTTGATTTCAGCTCAGATCAGGAGCTCAGGCCCTTGGGATTGAGCCCTGCATCTGGCTCTGTGCTCAGTGGATGATCTACTTAAGATTCTCCCTCTGCAGCCCGCCCCCCCCCCTTCATGTGCACTCTTTCAAAAATAATAATAATAATAATCACAATTGGAATGGCAGCATGAGGAAATCTGCAGAAGAGCATCAGAGGCTATACAGTGCAGGGTAAATTAAATAGTCCAGCGAAGTCACTAAACAAGCAAGTGCTGGGAAGATGAGTCTTCAGAGCTGCTATATTATCTAAACTGTCCACTTTTCAACAAAAACTTAAAAAAATCTGTGGAGAAACAGTAAAGTGTGTCCCATAAACGAGATTTGAAAACAGTAAAAAGAAACTTTTAGTGGACCCGGATGTTGGAAGCAGAAAAAAAAACTTCAAAGCAGCTATCATATTTAAAAAAAAAAAAAAAAAAACTGAAAGAAACCATGCTTGGAAGTAAAGGTATAATATTTCATCAAATAGAGAACAAAGGGGCAGCCCAGGTGGCTCAGCGGTTTAGCGCCACCTTCAGCCCAGAGTGTGATCCTGGAGACCCAGGATCGAGTCCCACGTCAGGTTCCCTGCATGGAGCCTGCTCCCTCTGTATCTCTGCTTCTCTCTCTCTCTCTCTCTCTCTCTCTCTCTCTCTCTCTCTCATGAATAAATAAAATCTATTTAAAAAAAAAAGAAAAAGATCAAAGGAAGTATTTTAGAAGAACTAAATAATGCAAATAATACAATCTGGAGAGTAGGAGAAAAGGAAATGAAAAATAGCTTCAGAGAAACATGAATCCTCAAATACGTGTAAGGAAAGTACCTAGCGGAGAAGAGAAGCGGAAAAATTGTTAGAAGAAATAATGCTTAAAAATACCAAATTTGGGGGGAAAAAATCTGAAAAGAGTAAGTTCTTACATAAAGTAGAATGGTCTACATTCACACACATGTCAGACTACAAATGTTGAAAGATCTTGAAAAAAAAAATACCATCATATACAAGAAAACCCCATTAACAACTGATTTATCAGGAGACTTGAAGGCAGTAGGATAACATGTAGAGTGCTGGAAAGGAAAAAACTATCAAACAAGAATTTTCTATCTAAAAAAACTATCCTTCAGAAATGAAGGCGATGAGGAAATGAAATTCCCACATATTAAGAATTCCTAGGAAACCAATCTTAGAAGAAATACTGAAGTTTTTTCAGGCTGAAAGGAAATGAGACAATACAATAATTTAAATCCTAATGAAAAAAACTTCCAATAAAGGTAATTATGTAGGAAATTACAAAAGGCATTGTAATATCCTATTCTTCCCTCAGCTGATTTAAAAACTAATTCTATAAGACAATATATAATTGTGGCATTATCTATAGCATAGAAATGTATATTTGTGACACCATAAAGCAGGTGGTAGAAGCAAAGCTGTATTTTTTTTTTAAGATTTTATTTATTTATCCATGAGAGACAGAGAGAGAGGCAGAAACAGGCTGAGGGAGAGGCAGGCTCCATGCAGGAAGCCAGACGTGGGACTTGATCCCAGGTCTCCAGGATCAGGCCCTGGGCTGAAGGTGGCACTAAACCACTGAGCCACCCAGGCTGCCGATAAAGCTGTATTTCAATAATGAAGCCACAGGAAGAAATGAGAACATAAAATGGTAAATTAAAAGGTTAATATAAAAACTATATATACCCATTCTTCCAACCTTTATAACAAAATTAAAATTATTACAACAATGTATTGATAAATTTTTAATAGCGATACAACATGTATAACAAAAAAAAAGCTTTATAAGAGTAACATTTCTGCATTTCACTGGAATTAAGTTACTATAAAGCTAAAGTAGATTTTGACAAGCTATATACTTGTAAGGCCTATAGTAACCACTGAGAAAATTTTTAAAATACAAAAAAATGATTAATAAAAGGAATCAAAATATTACACTAGAAAGTATTCAGTTGTGGGGCACCTGGGTGACTCAGTTGGTTAGGTGTCTTAATTTCAGCGCAGGTCTTGATTTCAGGGTCATGAGTTCAAGCCCTATGTTGGGCCCCAACAGGGTGTAAAGCCTACATTTAAATTTTTTTTAATTAAAAATAAAACTTGAACAAAGGAAAAAAAAGGTGTATGACATATATAAGAAACAAAGCAAAACACATAAATCCAACCATACAAACAACATTACATGTGAACGGATTAAACAAATATTATCAGAGTGGATTACCAAAACAAGATTTAAATATATACTGTCCATGGGAGACACATTTTGGATTCAAAAATGAAAATGCAATGAAAAAACTACGATGCAAACAGCAATCATCAGAGAGCTGAAGTGGCTAAACAAAGATTTGAAAATAAAAACAAAAAAAAAACTTAAAAATAATGAAAATAAAAACTTCCTACAGAAAGAGGCTCATTTTATAGTGAGATAAAAGAGAATCCATCAAGAAGCTATTAACAATTGTAAACATTTCTGCACCTCACAACACAGCCCATAAATTCTTAACGACTCTGTATTTTGCTGTCAGAATTCTGAAGCAAAACTTGACAGAAGTGACAGGAAAGTAGACAATTCAACAATAATAGAGAAATGACCCAACTTTCAACAATGAATAGAAAAAGGCAGAGTCAAAAAGGAAATAGAAGACATGAACAGCTCTATAAACCAACTACACCTAACATATCTATAGAGCTTTCATATACCAACAGCACAATTCTCAAGACCACATGGAACATTCTCCAAGACAGATCATATGCCAGAACACAAAACAAGCCTCAGTAAATGCAAAAGTTATTGAAATAAAAAATCTGTTCTCTGGTCACAATGGAATGAAATTACAAATAAGTAACAGAAATCTGGAAAATTCAAAAATGTATAGAAATTAATGCACTCCAAAATTTGACCAATGGATCAAAGAGAAAATCACAAGATAAATTAGGAAATCTGTAGAGATACTTGAAAATAAAAATGCAACATACCAAAGCTTATGGAATGCCACTAAAGCAGTACTTAAAGGGAAATCATAGCAGTAAACACCCCTGTGAAACATACAAAGAAATCAAACTTCACCTTAAAATCTTGGGAAAAGCATAAACCTGAAACAAGCAGGGGAGGTAAAACTTTTTAAAGCTACAATAATCTAGACTGTGCTGCAGCAGACATAAAGACAAACATAAATCAACGTAATTGATTGGGTCCAAAAATAACAACTTGTGGTCAATTAATGTTTGGCAGAGGTGTGAAGAGAATTCAAATGGGAAAGAATCTCTTCAACAAATGGCACTGGAACAACTAAATATGGTTTGAAAGGAAGTTGAACCTCTATCTCGCACAATATACAAAATGTAACTAACAGGGATCAGAGACCTCTATGGTACTGAATAAGGTAACTGATGTGTGCTATAATATGGATGAACCTTAAAAACATTATGCTAAGTTAAAGAAGCCAGTCACAAAAGACTGCATGTATGATACTATTTATATATGAAATGTCCAGAAAACTTATATCTATAGGAACAGAAAGTAAATTAGTGGTTGGATAAGACAGGACGTTTCCAGGGACTGGGAGTGATAGATGTTTGTACGGGGTTTCTTTTGGTATGGTGAAAATGTCCTAAACTTGATTTGGTGATGGTTGCAGAACTCAGTGAATATACTAAATTATAATTCACAAAATATACAATTTATCCATTTAAAGTATACATCTCAATAAAGCATTTTATAGATATTTCTATCATCTATAAAGGAACAACAAATATAAAAGTAAATGACAAGACAATAAGAATATGAAAAAGCCAATAGAGCTCAGGAAAGAAATAATAGAAACATTTCACAAATGAAGCTTAAAGGAGAAAAAAATTACAGGAGGAAAGAGACAACAGGAAGAGTTAAAAGGACTCTTTAGGGAAAAAAAAATGTTAACTATGGGAAGCTAGGCAAAGAAGATCCAGTATATTTATAATAAGAATCTGTGAGGAATAAAACCAAAGGAATTGAATAGGAAGATGGTCCTAAAGTGATAATTCAATACAACTACTGAAATAATAAGATTTGAACTTACATATTGGAGAGGCATCCCAAATACTTGTACAATTGACCCGTAATAGCCACTACTGAGAAATACTCTATTTAAACTACTGACTTTTAAAGGAGAAGAAGAGGGATCCCTGGGTGGCGCAGCGGTTTGGCGCCTGCCTTTGGCCCAGGGCGCGATCCTGGAGACCCGGGATCGAATCCCATATCGGGCTCCCGGTGCATGGAGCCTGCTTCTCCCTCTGCCTGTGTCTCTGCCTCTCTCTCTCAATCTGTGACTATCATAAATAAAAAAAAAAAAAAAAAATAAAGGAGAAGAAGAAAGTAAGGTTTTGGTCATTCAGGCAAAAACTCCAGGTCATCTGTATGGGAAAGAAAATTGAGTTAGCATTGGGATTTTATCCATTACACTTTGTGGATAATGAAGAAGAAATGAAGTGGCGTATTTAATATATTTAAATATATATTAAAGAGTGGAAATGTGAACCAAGGATTTTATATTCAGCCAACTGAACTTCCAGAAATAAGACCACATATAAAGTTATGATTATGCAAAATATTAGAGAATATTGTAATGAGTAATCTATTGAACAACAAGCTTCATACACCAGGAAATGATTGGAGAATTTCCAATATGAGGCTTTTGGAAGTATGTAATATATTACCCTTAAAACTAAATCCAGGGGATCCCTGGGTGGCTCAGCAGTTTCACACCTGCCTTTTGGCCCAGGGCGCGATCCTGGAGTCCCGGGATTGAGTCCCACATCGGGCTCCTGGTGTGGAGCCT